TTTTTTTTTTTTTTTTTTTTTTTTTTTTTTTTTATTGCGACTCGACAAAATGACTGCACCGCGCCTGATGGAAAGTGCGAATACAGTCCAGAGATGAGAGTAACGGATGGAAAACACAAATATCTTCACTCCGTCACTATCATTTTGCCGGTCTGGCCAAATGCACTGGATGTACACCAACTGATCCCTGAACGCGATTCGCAAAAGCGTTTCACTGTGGAGGGTTTTCCGCCGTGTGTACTGTGGTCGCTATCCAGTCGGCACAGAGCCTACCACAATGCTAAGCAGATGGACACTTGTGACGCCCTCGGTCGCCTCTTACGACCCCCACGGGCATGTATGGGGAGGCGACAATGTATTCTGAAGCCGTCGCCCCACGGCGGATTAATGAGGATACTCATGATCTCAGACAGGACCCACCGTTTACGCTTACGGAGCTAAAGCTGGCAATAGGATCCTTCAACCCGAAGAAGGCGCCGGGTGCCGATGGATTCACTGCGGATATTTATTTATTATTTATTTATTTATTTAGGACAACCAACAAGACATGAAATTAACTATAACAATGTACAAACAGTGACACAGGGACTATACTTAATTCTGCCTTAATTATAGGTCGCCACGGCATGCAAATGTGGACATAATACAATCAGAATAATAAACAAATGAAATTAAATAATTATTAAATTACAAAAAACTCCAATTAAAATACAATATTAATGAGTACAATAAAATGAATAATTAATTATAAGGAAATTATAAAAAAAAACATATTGTAAAAACCGAATCAAAATAGACAAAGATACAATTGCTTAAGTGTAAGATAATCAGCATCAGAGATTTAAAAAATAATGAGATATAATTAAAAAGTTTACTTTAAAAATCAAAATAACAATAGCTGCGACAATAAACAAACATATTTATATAACTACAATGACGCGGACACGAGAGAAGACTTTATTGCGCGTTTAAAGCGTGAGGTACTATATGAAAAAATGTCGATGAGACAGTCACCTTGCTTACACAAGAGGTTATATTGTCTTTGCAGTCGATTCATGGTGGCGTGGTGACCCAGATTGCTTCTACTACCCTTAACTGAAAATGGAACGAACCTATTCAAACGAGGTAGCTTCAGGGGTACGTTGATGTTCACTAATCCTAACAGGAAGGGGCAATCTACGGCTCCATTGACGATCTTGTGTAAAAACATATGATCCAAGAGCAATCTTCTGTTCCGCAAACTCATTAAGTTAAAATGAGAAAGGCGATCCTCATAAGAGGGCAGCTCCTGAACTTTGTGAGCCTGATAAGAAAGATGCCACATGAATCTTCTTTGAACACGCTCAATTTGTTTTATGTGTACTTCATATTGCGGGGTCCAGACCTGGCAGCAATATTCCAGGCTGGGCCGCACCAAAGACGAATACAACGATATCTTTGTGGAGGGATTTTTAAAATCTTTTGCATTTCTCAGCACAAATCCAAGCATCTGAAATCCCTTCGTGACGACATTGTCTATGTGCTTGTGAAAAAGTAACTTTTTGTCCAGGGTCACTCCTAAGTCGCGGATTGTGTCCACCTCCTCCAAAATATGACCGTTGATGTCATATGCCGGCGACATGGTGTTTTTGCATCTTGTGAACCGGATATACTTGCATTTGCCGATATTCAAAAGTAATTTGTTTTTATTACACCAGCGAATAAGTTGATCCAAATCATGTTGTAAGAGAAGGGTGTCATTGCTACTATTGATCGGTAAACAAAGCTTCATATCGTCCGCATAAAGGAAGCAAGTAACATGTTTGAAGACATGTACGATGTCATTGATAAAGATATTGAAAAGGACCGGACCGAGGTGAGAACCCTGAGGGACTCCGGATACGGATGAGAATGGTACAGAAGAGAAACCATCCACCACAACCCTAGACAAACGTTGACCCAGGTAAGAAGAAAACCATTCAAGAAGTTTACCGGTGATACCAAACAGAGAAAGTTTATTTAGCAAGATCCTATGATCTACGGAGTCAAAAGCTTTACTTATATCTGTATAAATGGCATCTACGGACCCACGCGCGTCAAGAGCATCGGTAACAAACGCCAAAAAGGATACCAGGCTTGACGTTGTAGAACGAGATGAAAGGAAGCCAGACTGTTGGGGTGAGATTAATTGATTAATATGCCAGGCCAAGAGACGACACAAAAGAGACTCAAATACCTTAGAGAACACTGACAATATTGATATGGGTCTATAGTTTTGCACCAAAGAACCGTCTCCTGATTTAAAAATTGGGACAATTGTTGCCTCCTTCCAAGTTGATGGGAAAACACCGGTTCTCAGAGATGCATTAAAAATGATTGTGAGAGGTAAAGAGAGTGGTTCGCAGCATTGAACCACAAATGCTGAAGGTATACCATCCGGACCGGCACCCTTCTTCCGATCCAACCGCTTTATAACTTGTTGAACTTCTTCCTGAGAAAATTGAACAATACCAAGAGGATGAGAGCTGAGAGAGGAATCGTCTGTGCATTCCTGTGAAGAGAAGGAATCTGAGCTGCTCTTATGAACAGAAGCAAAGTAGGAGGCAAATAAATTACAAATTCCATCCCCTCCTGTAGCTTCGCAACTCCCAGATCTCATAGATGTTGGGAAAGTACTAGTGTTTCGCCTTTTATTTTTTATGTGCGTCCAGAACAATTTAGGATTTTCTGACAGTGACCTCTCTATATCGGTAATATATTTTATGTAAGTACTGTTCGTTAGATTTATACATCTTTTTTTTAGTGTACACAGAGCCAGCTCATCTAATGGGTTTTTGTATTTTGTTACTTTTTTTCTGAGTTTGTGTTTTTCATTTAGAAGGCGAATCAGTTCGTTCGTATACCAGACCGGATAATTACCTTTTGCAGGTTTGCATTTTGGTACATGCTTGGCTATAGCCACTTTCAATATTTTATAAAATTTATCCACCATTGCATCTATGGAGTCTTTAGATGAAAGGGTAATCTCCCAGGGCGTTGAGTTTAAATCATTGATTATTTTGTCAGTCAGCTTTGTAGAAATTATATTTTTCTTTGGTAACTGTATTGGATGATGCAGATGAATTTTGACAATAGATTGCGAATTCCAATGGCGGGTGATAAGAATCGAGATTACTTAACGATAGGTCACTACGTTTCACATTCGAGATCCCTGTGTTAGAAAGAACAAGGTCTAAGACTTTGTCGTCCTTGTTCAGGATGTAATTATGTTGAGTCAGCCCATTTAACGCCAAAAATTCTATAAGAGATTTTTCATACATACTCTTGGCACCAAAAGAGGATCCAAACGACGAAGTACCGCTACTATCGTTGTTGTTCCAATCAATACCGCTGAGATTAAAGTCACCCAAAATTAAGGTTTTTTTATTCGAATCCAAAACGTTATTCGTATTATCTATAAAATGGTCAAGGATATCTTTTTGAATTGGCGACGGGAGGTAAACACTACATAGTAATAATTTTTGACCTCTACGGAAATCTAATTCCACCCATAAGTCCTCGCATTCACTTTCAAATCCAGGCACCCTGCGTGAGCACATACGTTTTGTCACGGCAATGAGTACCCCGCCACCTGATTTATTTCTGTGGAATCCAGTCGTCTCACGATCGCGTCTGTACACTACATATCGATCACTAAATAGTTCACAGTCAAAAATGGTGCTATTCAACCAAGTTTCACATAATACTATTATTAAGGATCAGAAGTAAGGATATTTAAAAAAAAAGGAACAATAATCAACCTAACTTTATTTTACAAGATTTACAGAATAAAATATTTAAGCTATCACGAATATTTCACTAATAGTTTAGATCCGAAGCCTACTAAGCGTCGCGCCAGAATGGTCGTCCGTTGTTCTGTTCGCTATTCTCCTCGCTGCAGCTCGGAGTGGGGTGGAGTGGGAAATCACGCCACCTTTAAGTCCCGCCTCCTGAGCTTCCCGCTAATACGGCCGTTCCTGACTGCGAGACGTCCTCGTCTGCTTGTTCTTCAGGAGGATGCTCAGCTATTTGCCTTTCAGGAGAGTAGTCAGTCTCGTCAGGTCGCTCGTCAGCTGTAATTACAAAAAATCGAATTTTTATGGACCGTCAAGTACAAAAACACTTGTTGCATTGTTAAACCATTCACACGACAAACAACGTTTTGTACCGAACAACTCGTGAGCGCTCAAGGCATTCGACACAAAACGAGACTCTCATAATAGCCAGTCATACGCACAATTACACATTGAAATTCTATTACACATTGGAATTCTATGACTTAAATAAACGGACATTGTATACTGTTGAAATTATTCGGACGATATCCTGTCACGTGGCCAAGTACATCCCCCCAAAATACCATGGTCTACCACAACAGTAAAACTGTTGCCAGCGAGCGTTGTAGTCTGCCGTGACAATCGCATGTCACTACAATAACATACGCAGCAATTGCAACATGATGTAAAGCCTCGGCCTTTCGTCATCAATTTACTTCATATGCCATAGTCTGCCGCAACAGGGGGCCTCGGTCCACCGGTTACTACTACCAACCAATCTCGCTACACCATGACCGACCTTTTGTCGCGCCCATGGTCTGCCGGCTAAGAGCCGCACTACGACACGCAAGCGTAGTCTGCCACGACTAATAGTCGCTACTGCAACAAAGCCACAGTCTGCCACGATTCCACTAGATAATAGAATGAGTGCACGTAATTCACATATCTAGCAATCGCACTTACTTTCAAAGAAAGCCGAACACGCCTCTGGTGTCCACTCGCCGCGCCAAGGTACCATATACTCAGAAGCTGCCTGAGTGCGCTTGCCGTACGAACCAGACAGTAATTCAAGCTCATATCGGTCGTGAGGAAGAACTGTTATAACTTTATATGGACCTCTCATCCCAGAATCGAACTTTCCAGTTCTCTGACTGCTCTTAATGACAAAAGCAAGACCTCCAACTTTATAAGCACGCGGCGGTCTACGACCCTCGTTCACCGTCTCGTTCTGTCGTCTTTGATTGGCAGCTAAAAGTTCATTCGCTCGTTGCCTTCTCAGGGAAACTAAGGCCTCACGATTTGCGTTCGAATTACTAAGTGCGATGTCGCGTACTAGCGAGCGTAAGACAGGGGTCGTTGCATCAATGCCTACTAGTAATTGTAACGGCGATAACTGTGTTGTAGCGCTTTTAGTCATATTCAAAATAAGTTGAACTCTCCATAAAGCATCGGACCATTCGGAACTCTTGTTATTTACTTCGACTGGTAATAAATTTAGTACAGTACGACAATAGCGTTCCGCTTGACCATTTTCATGATGCATTTCGGGTGTGATGAAATGAGTTGTACAACCCAGCTCAGTAAGCCAACTTTGAAAATTGTTGCTTTCGAACATTCTACCGCGGTCATTAACAACAAGCGAAGGCGTGCCAAATAGTGACACTGTATTTGTAAACGCCCGCTTAAGCTCATCGGCGTCTTGTCTGTATAATGCGTATAATAGACAGTACTTTGAGAACGCATCTACTACGACAAGTGCGTACTTAAACCCTTTTGATTCGGGTAACGGGCCTAACACGTCCATATGAATAGTAGAAAATGGAATATCAGGTTTTGACCACGAGACAATAGGCTGATGGGAAGCACGGGGAATTTTTTTATGCGTCAAACATGTTAAGCAATGATTTATGTACTTACGTACGAATTGTCTCAAACCGGGGAACCAAAAGTGTCGAAGTATCAATTCAGTCGTTTTGTCAATGCCGATGTGATCGTGTTCATCATGGAAAATTCGAAGTAAACTGAGTCTATGACCCTTGGGAATAAAGCAAAGCAAACGATTGTCTTCGCCGGTGGTAGAGTACTTGTAATATAATCTCACAGGCAGAACTTCTGGCTGTAAGACGGTAAGAGCCTCCGTGCCTACGTGAGGGTGTTCCGTAAGCTGCGGCAGCGACGGCGTGCTGTAGCGCCGCGAAGAAACCTGTATGGGAATATCTGGCGGCGGCACTGGCGCTGACGGAGCGTCTAACCTATCTTCGATTGCTTTTAATTTATTTAAAATCGACTCGAGTACCTGATCATTTTCACTCGATTTATTTGTACGTCGTTTACCTTTACTAGTTGACGCACCTTCAGACATAGTACTAAACGGAATTAAATTACAAGAGCAATTAATCAAAGCTTGCTAAGCGTTGAGCACTAAGAAGAATAAATTTAAAAGTAACCGTTACACTACAGTACGAGTACCTAATTAGCAGTATTTATAAATCTAATTAGCGACACTATTTTTAAAGTACTTTGGAATAAACAACTAATCAAAAAATTAATTTGAAAAGTGACCGTTATACTACATTACGAATAATAAGCAGAATTTCGTTAAATCTAATTAGCTAAAGTATTTTGTTAAAGCACTTTAGAATAAGCAACGAAACAAAATGTAGATATGCAGCAACGACCGTTAAGCAAAAATCAATTCAAATTTTATCACCACACAAAACGTAAACTTATCGAAATAATTATCCCGAAAAAAACGTCTGGATGCCACTCGCGGGTGGGATACCTATCCCGCTTCTGATATTAAGGATCAGAAGTAAGGATATTTAAAAAAAAAGGAACAATAATCAACCTAACTTTATTTTACAAGATTTACAGAATAAAATATTTAAGCTATCACGAATATTTCACTAATAGTTTAGATCCGAAGCCTACTAAGCGTCGCGCCAGAATGGTCGTCCGTTGTTCTGTTCGCTATTCTCCTCGCTGCAGCTCGGAGTGGGGTGGAGTGGGAAATCACGCCACCTTTAAGTCCCGCCTCCTGAGCTTCCCGCTAATACTATAATATCGTAATCACAGCATAGTACGTTTTTATAAAAAGCAGAGGTCTTTGTACGAATATCTGCCTGAACGTGGTTCAACACGACTCAGACCTGTTCCTCAGTATGCTTAATAAATGTCTAGCACTTCAACACTTCCCTAAGGCATGGAAGGAGGCGACAGTGGTCGTCCTGAGGAAGCCCGGCAAGGACAAATACACCACCCCAAAGGCTTACAGACCAATAGGCTTGCTGCCGGTGTTTGGGAAGGTGTTGGAGAAAATGATAGTTTCAAGACTAAAACACCACTTGGTTCCCGGAATGAGCGCACGCCAGTACGGCTTCATGCCCCAACGGAGCACCGAAGACTCCCTCTATACCCTAGTGCAATACATAAAGAAAAAACTAGCTCAAAAGAAATTGGTATTACTGGTTTCACTGGACATAGAGGGAGCCTTCGATAGCGCGTGGTGGCCCGCAATAAGAGTACGACTGGCTGAAGAAGATTGCCCGGTGAATATAAGGAGGATCATGGACAGCTACCTGAGGGACAGGAGAGTCCAGGTTACCTATGGCGGGGAAACGTACAAAAAAGGTACCAATAAAGGCTGCGTGCAGGGATCCCTATCCCATCGGCGGCCCTATTCTCTGGAACCTTTTGCTGGACCCACTTTTAAAAGGATTGGAGCAACGAAGACACTACGCCCAAGCTTTTGCGGATGACGTCGTTCTCGTCTTTGACGGCGAAACAGCCCAAGAGACTCAGGAACAGGCCAATGCCGCTCTCAAATATGTCCAGGCGTGGGGTGCCGTGAATAAACTCAAGTTTGCGCCACAGAAAACAAGCGCGATGGTAGTGACGCGCAAGTTAAAATACGACACCCCACGCCTGAGCATGGGCGGGATCGACATTGGCATGTCTAAACAAATTAAACTTCTGGGTGTGACTATAGACGACAAACTGACGTTTAATGCTCATGTCACGGAGGTATGCAGGAAGGCGATAGGTGTGTACCACCAGCTTGCGCGCGCTGCAAAGGTAACCTGGGGCCTTCATCCGGAGGTCATCCGAACAATTTACACAGCGACTGTCGAACCCATCATCTTGTACGCCGCCAGCGTATGGGCACCGGCAGTAAACAAGCTGGGGATTCAAAAGCAGCTTAATGTAGTCCAAAGAGGTTTCGCCCAAAAACTATGTAGAGCCTATCGCACCGCCTCTCTGAACTCGGTACTGGTACTGGCAGGGATCCTCCCTCTCGATATACGCGTACGCGAAGCGGCTTCATTATATGAGGCCAAGAGGGGGTACCCCAGTCGGTCCTGGGAGACAGAGAGGTGGAGCAAATGACGTCGGCGATAAAGTCCCCTCACCCTGCAAAGTATATTGACTTAAAATTCAAAAGCCTGGTAGACCAGGAGCAGCTAGATAAAAGCAGAAACTTTGACATTCTCATTTACACCGATGGCAGTAAGGTTGAGGGTAAGGTTGGGGCTGCGTTATCCATTTGGGATGGCACAGCCGAAATCAGGGCCATCAAACTTGCCTTGCCATCATATAGCACGGTCTACCAGGCAGAGCTACTGGCCATTTGCAGGGCAACCCGGGAGCTATTAAGACTCAAGGCACACAGCTTTGGAATCTACAGCGACTCAATGGCAGCGCTCCAATCCGTAACAAATGTGCTTTCCCTCCATCCCCTAGCAGTGGAAACTCGCGAAAATTTGGCAACTGCTTCGCTCCAAAATAAAGATGTTAGCCTATTTTGGATAAAGGCCCACGCAGGATTGGAGGGAAATGAGCGTGCGGACTATCTCGCCAAAGAGGCCGCTGTGGGTTCCAAACGAAAACACGACTACGACCTGTGCCCGATTTCATTCGTCAGGCGAAGCATCCGCATGCGATCGCTTGACGAATGGAATCAAAGGTATCAAAATTCCAATACAGCAGGGATCACCAAACTTTTCTTCCCTGATGCGGTGGCGGCGTACAGGATAGTTAGGAAGATAAAATTAACAAATGTAACGACACAGCTGATGACCGGGCACGGTGGGTTCTCCGAGTACCTGAATCGTTTCGGGTGCAAGGAGAGCCCATCGTGCATATGCGAACCCGGCATCCCCGAAACAATTCCGCATATCCTTTTGGAATGCCCAGTCTTCGCCGCGGAAAGATATAACGCCGAAATAATACTGGAGTCCAAGATGGCAATTGAAAACATATGTAAATTTATGTCAAACAAAAGTAAAGAAATTTTCCTAGAGTATTGTAAAAAAGTAGTTATTAAGGTAATTAATAGAAATAAAATTGTATAAGTAAATATATGTTAACAAAATATTGTATATATTTTAGTATAACATATATGTGAATAAAGATATAAGTAAAATTGTAACTTAGAATATAAGGAAATGTAATAGTATAAAGATGAAATAGAAATAAGAAAAAATGTAATAGAATAATAAAATACAGATATAAAAAGATGTGCGACGATGATCATAAAACGTAACCCCTAATCCTGTCCATGTTCTGAAAAAAGGAAGCATAAATAAATGTAGGAATAAATATAGAAATAAGTAGACGGGAAATCCCACCCGCGACGAAATCCCACGAGCGACAGAGATGAATGATAGAAAGAAACAGTATGTAGAATGAAAGTGCGAGAGGAATAACAGCGAGAACTGGTATGGAAGAGATATTTAGCTATATAAAGACTCCCTCGTTTAAGTCGGAGGTATAAGTATTAAAAAAAAAAAAAAAAAAAAAACCTAACCTAATGCTGCGGTCAGCTTCCGCTGTGCATTGGGCTCTGACGTGCCCGAATGCCAGACAGCGGAAGCATCTCATGGGCCTTGGGTCAAGGAGTCTGACCTGGGCCGATACCCACCCCACAAGCACCCTACCTCCGGTAGTCAACTTCTTTGCGGCCTCGACTGGGACTCTCAGCCATGCCGTTCCCAATCCTGAGGGATCCTTTTGAATGTTGCCAACCTTGACAACCTCTGCCGCACATCCTCCAGCGAGAGCAACTGCAGATGCCACCTCTTCGGGAGTAATAGAGTCATCCAGCCCCGAAATGCGCAATTCCGCGCATTTCATGGGTCTGGAAACTCGCACTGTGTCCTCTGCCAAGGTCTCTTTCAGCTTCTGGGCACGAGAGTCAGCCTTTTTACTACTAGTAGCCCCTGGAACCTCCAGAATAGTGGCACCAGTAGTAGGTACATTTTTGGTTTAGGTAGGTCTTAGACTATGGAAACCAAAGGATGTGTTATATTGACATATATAAATACTTATAAAAAGAAGTTAATATGTATATGATGCATTTAGACGTTGAAAATATAAACATTTTATTGTCTTTGTTTAACTGCGGCGTACTGTCGTAAGCCAAAAGAGATATCATTACATTGATTTGTGTCAAACACGGGAACGGAAAATACGTAACGT